AAAAAAAAAAAAAAAAATTGCCTGTCAACAATGTGTTTAAAATTTAGGTTTAGATAAGTCTGAATGTGATTCTTAAAGGATATATTTAAAGTTTTGTAATGGTAGCTATAGGATTTTCAATTAGACCAAAGATAAACATAGGAACTGTTTTTTAGGCTAGCAAGAGGTAGAGACTATTTAGGACTTAGCATGTGGAAAGAAGTCAGCCAGAATGAGGAAAGAGAGCAGTAGTTGTAATCTGTGTGACTTGTTTTCTAATTCCTTCCTTAACTCACCTGTAGCTCTTTTCCGAAACACCAATGTGGAAGATGTCCTCAATGCCCGAAAACTGGAGCGAGACTCACTTCGGGATGAGTCCCAAAGGAAGAAGGAACAGGACAAGCTGCAGAGGGAGAGAGACAAACTGGCCAAACAGGAGCGCAAAGAAAAGGAAAAGAAAAGGACACAGAGAGGGGAACGAAAGCGATAACCTTGGCCTAGTCTATTTCCCCCATCTATGAACTTCATCACATAGCAACTGGTTGTGCACATGTATATTTAAGAGAAATGAGAGAACATTGCAAAGTGGTTTCCCAAGGCATTTCCCCTTTTGTTTACACGGTCAAAAGGAAAATCACAATCATTTTTAATTACAAAATGTGCCATGTTTTGGTGGTGTGGGCAGTCAGATTATTACAATTGATGTCTGTACCAAAGATCTGGAATGGGGGCAACCTTTATATTTTAATACTAAAGTCCTATGCTCCTTTGGCCACTTTATAAAGTCTTCCCTCACCTTCAGTAAATAGCAAGAGGATTCAGAAAGCTAACGGCTACAGTTTTCATCCTGAAGGAGTGGAAACATGATCACTCCTTGCCTCAGATGAAATGTGGGAGTGTTCATGCATTGGAAGCAGTATTCACTCTTAAATGTGGCATTATTTTATGGTTGAAATAGCTAATGAAGAGCCCTCCCTGGCTCCCAGATTTTATGTTACATGGCAGCAAAGTAGGAAAATGTGAAGAAAGATTTTTTAAAAACATTTTAGCCTATGGGAGGAAAAGAAGTAACTGAAAATGGAGATAGTTACATATTTTTCCTCATCTAGGCTATTTAAGGATGTGTAACTGTTGGATGCAAGAATATCATTGTTAACTAAATTCATTTTTTTACAATCATGAATCCTCGAGTGCTAATAGAGATTTTAGTATTGATTTTCCCTAAAACATATGAGTATTAATAATAATTCCTGGGTTAGGGAAGCTGGAGGAATTGCCCTTTTGAGAAAGAAACACTGGAAATCTTTGCTAACATGAATATATTTGAGTGTACATAGTAGGCACTGAACAAATTTATTGAATAACTGAATGTAAAACTGCTTGGGAAAGTCAAAAATGAGTGGAAACTCTCCATTTCTACTCTTGTCACAAGCCACATTCAATTATAAATAAGGCTCTGCTCTGCTTCAGGCAGCAGACTGTCTAGAAGTCTAAGAGAGCAATTTCTCTGATAAGACAGAAAGTAAGATATTTTATACCAAGGGCTGTCAAACTTCCGCCCCTGGGCCAAATTTGGTCCAGTCTGGTTTTGTATGGTGCAAACCAAAAAGGGTTTTTAGATTTTTAAAGGGTTAGGAAAAATAAGTGACAGAGACCATATGTGGTCTGTAAAACTTAAAATATTTATTATCTCGCCCTTTGGAGGAAAAGTTTGCCAGCCTCTGTTTTATGCCATTAACTATGAGATTAACAAAAACTTTTACCTTTTTTATGCAGAAGGTAAAAAAGCATGGTTAAGGAAAAGGAGATGTGTTGCCTCTTCATATACTCCTATAACCGTGGCATTTCAGAAAATAAATGAAAAAACACCTTTTAAAAAATAAATTTTATTTAAATCACTGTCTTCTGACTTCCTTTGGTTTCTTCCATCTCCCATGGGAATAAAATATGTGAGTAGCCAGTTAGGAATGTGTTGATTTATATTTCATGCTTTGTTTTGATTAGTTCTATAAACTTATATTCCATAGTGGAATATCAGTAAATTGGCTTTCAAGTACTATTGGAGTCTTAGTTCTTTATGTGGTAGTTAGCAACAGGCTATGGCTATGGAATTTGGTAAAGCCTATATTAATAACCCTTATTTTAGGATTTGGTCTGTTCTCACTTTGATTTTTGTTTCTGAAGGAGTCAGGTTAGATAAATGGACCTTTGAAGGATACCTGTTTCTATTTGTTAGTAGTTGATGTCACAGTTAAGTATGCAAACTAATGCTTATAACCAAAAAAAAGAATCACCTCATTAGGCTTTGAGTAAGGGTATCACTTACTCAGGTGCTAATGCTATAGGTCTAAAATGTCCAGTATTGCAATGGACAAAACCACATCTTAAGTGGTAATATTGAGTTTTAGGCTAAATTTGGAATTTTGGTCATAATAGTAATTCCCAACACTGTAAAACTTTACAGTAGCAGATTATTCAAGTGGAAAGGATATTGACATAATAAAGATAATTTTCAAGTACCTTTGTATAAATTGCTTTTTCCTTTAAAAAAAGACAAATGAGTATGTCAGATTCTTTTGGATAAGAACTGGTAGCATCAAACCTGGATGTGGTGGCTCTGAGAGGCTGAGGCAGGTGGATTGCCTGAGCTCAGGAGTTCAAGAGTGAGACCCTCTTCTCTAAAATAGCCAAGCATTGTGGCAGGCGCCTGTCGTCCCAGCTACTCAGGAGGCTGAGGCAAGAGAATTGGTTGAGCCCAAACGTTTGAGGTTGCTGTGAGCTATGACACCATGCACTCTACCAAGGGTGACAAAGTGAGACTGTCTCCAAAAAGAAAAGGGGGGGGAAGCATCACTTTTATCAGTTTCACCGCAAACGTTGTGATGATTTTGTTTTTTGTAAGTTATAATTCAGACATACAATATAGGCTGGGTGCAGCAGCACACACCTGTAATCCTAGCACTCTGGGAGGCTGAGGTGGGAGGATTGCTTGAGCTCAGGAGGTCAAGACCAGCCTCAGCAAGAGTGAGACCCCATCTCTACTAAATAGAAAAATTAGCCAGATACAGTGGCATGTACCTGTAGTCTCAGCTACTTGGGAGGCTGAGGCAGGAGGAATGTGTGAGCCCAGGAATTTGAGGTTGCAGTGTGCTATGATGACACCACTGCACTTTGGTCTGGAGTAACAGAGTGAGACTGTCTCACACCAAAGGAAAAAAAAAGTATAATAAGTAAGAACCACTAGATGGTTCAACAGGTAGGTATGCTATTGAAGGGACAACCGACTAATTTAAAAATAATCTGGTTACATGTGATTAATAAATTTTAAAAAAAATTAAGTCTTTAAATTTCAAAATATTAAGGGGGTAAAATGTTTTAGGTTACATTTGTACCTAAAATGGATGGTTTTTGTAATGACTGTGTTTCCCCAAAAATAAGACCTACCCCCAAAATAAGCCCTAGCAGGATTTCTATGCATTTGTTAAATATAAGCCCTACCCCATAATAAGACCTAGTGA